AAACACTGAAGAGTTCAGATATTTTTACATGCTAACAAGTTAGCCTGCCTCAGTTTAATGGATGTTGACCTAGGACACAAGACTCCTGGGTCAGAGACATAGAATTCCATTGTTATTCATGGTATAGCAAGCAGAATGAGTTTCATGTTTGCATTGCTTTTTATTGCCTTCCAATTCCCATAGAATGGTGTAAAGTTGTGTCTAGGTGGATGCTGAACACAGTGGGTTTGTGTCAATGATGAAGAATCCCATGCTAAGAAAACCCTAATCTTTTGTAAGAAAGCAAACCTACTTGGTATTCACCCTGGAGGTGAGGAGGGGTATAACCTATCTTCAAAACAGACTGATCTACCCTTTACACTGGATAGAGGCACTAAGCCGTCTCAAAAGATTATATTCTATAAAAATGTCCTTGAAAGGATAGTCCAGAACAAAGGCCACCAGTGCCTCTGTTTGTAAAATGTATAGAAATGTGAAAAATCCACAGAAAATTGTCCCTACATAAGTATGTGCTAGCCATCAGGAAGTAGTATTGCACAAAAGTATAAGAGAGATAATTACCCGGTTCTATTTTTAATCTGTAGCCTCTCCAAACTCTTTTGGGGAAATTAAGTCAGCAAACATAGGTAAATGTTGACACTTTAAATTGACATCAGGAGGCATTCAACATCTACTGAATGATAAATACTGTGGGAAACATGAAAAAGAAGGTTCAACCCATGCCTTTAATTTTATCCAGTGATAAGCAGCTCACACAGAGCTCTGGAACTAATTTTGGAATGAAAGCTTATGAAGTGGCCTCTGAATCATTACTTCTCAGCCATGCCCATGTATTAATCATTTTAGTGGCTTTCATCACCAAGTTTTTCCTTGATATTCTTTCACTCAGTATAATAGGTATTATAAGTTGTAAGAAGGTACATCGTTCCATATGTGTTTGATAAAATTATAAATTTATTTTACTTTAAATGATAAAAAACACTTAAAACTATTTTTTTTTAAATTTTAAACTTATAGACCAAACAAAGCTAGTCACATGTAAGTAAATGTTCATGATTCTATTAAACTGGAAATTCTAAGTAAACCAATCAAATTGTCAAAACACAATTTGATCATAGATCAAATTTCACTGAAATTCATTCAAAATGAATTTCAATCTTCAAATGATCATGTTGGCTTCCATTTTGTGTTAGGGAGATTCACTAAAATGTAAAGCAATCCTATGATTGTATTCACAAAATTTGATTCAGTAGAGTTCAATATTTCATGAAAATCACTCAGCTTTTTCAAAACTTACGAATGAAGCAAAGGAAAAAGTAATGAACTGATACTCACATTTCTTTCCTTGAATATGCTCATAGTTATTTTGTATAACACATATGTGATATTTGCAAACAGTTTTTTTGTTTGTTTTTTAGCAGAACCACCTAACATGTATATTTGGCAGGGGCACTAGAAACCCCAAGGTGATGAATGTTGGTTCTTGGGAAGATAGATAGAAAAAAAATCTTAGTTATTGCAAAGGTTTGGGGGTCCTCCAAAGGGTCACAGTACAGCAACAGATATACAGTACATCTATGACATTAAATTTTGACTGTAGGGTTCATTAGGAAAACAGATGTCTAAAAAGGCTCCTGGCTGGGGAGGGGCTATAATAATGAAGAAAAGGATGATAGCCTAGAAGTGTTTTGCTAAGTGTTGTCATGTGGCACTCACTAAGTTGAGCAAAGGGATTTATTTTTAAATTTTCTGTCATATTTTTTATTTCCTACTTTTTAGTCTAATCTTAATGTAATCCCATTAAAGAACTTTAAGAAAACAACATCCATAATGTCCTTATGTTTTAAAGTATTTTATGTTTGCATTTATTTCTTGTAAACCATAAATATATACTGCTTTGAATTTTTTTATCCACTTATTTACATATATTCATTTTTATATAATCTTTATAATTGCCACTTTTACAAGGCTACATGAAATTCACTTACGCTAGTCTTCTATCTTGTTTATACTTGTATATCTCTGAAAATTTCTTCCCCTTCTTTGTAGTTCTGCTTTTCCTTACTGCCTATTAAAATTTGTGGTCCTAGGCCATGTGTGAAGTTTCAAGCAGCAATGTTGGTCAGATGACATTAATTTCATTTAGACAGGAGGAATAAATACAAGAGGTCTATTGTGTGCATCATGATGGCTACAGTTAATAGTCACATACTATATACTTAAAAATTGCTAAGAAAGTAGATTTTAAGTGTTTTACCACAAAATAATTATGAGGTAATACATGTTAAATAGCTTTATTTAGCCATGTCCTGGCATATACATTTACTCAAACACCATGTTATATACCAGAAATACATATAGTTTTTACTTGTCACTTAAAAAGTTTTCAAGGTGTTTAAAAATTTGAGGTCCTCCAGAATTGCATTTTCTGCCTCCCACTCTCCTTTTGATACACTATGTCAGGGTAATCTCATCCATCTTCAGATGACACAGAAATCTTTAGTTCCAACCCACATTTCATTTCTCGGTTGTACACCCATATATTCAGGTTCCTGCTGGTTATCCCTATATAGCTATTACTTAGGAATTTCTAGTAGTAATTCCTAATTAGTAATTTAGTAATTAGTAATTTCTAATTAGTAATTTCTAATCACCTTTTCTCAAACTGTTTATCCCTGGTCATTTAGAATCCTTTCCCTCCTCCTCAATCTGTCCTCTCCCCAGCAAAGTCCTACTTGTCATAATAATAATTTCAAAATATCTGTCTTTTCTCTCTGGTTTCTCATTACTTCAAGACTTTATGTTTTATTTAGATGATTATGCTTTGCTCCTGAAACTTCCCCTGTCTTCTATTGGAGATATTATTATCCTTTATAATGCTACCCAGCAAGTCTTTCTAAAGTATAAATCTGATCAGTTCACTTTGTATTATTTTTATCTGTGCTATACAGTACTGTAACCATGAGTTACATGCACTTAATGAGCACCTGAAATTCAGATAATATGAATTGTGGTATGTCAAAGGACACCTACAATTCTAAGACTTAATCTGATAAAAGGAATGTAAAATATATCACTAATTTTTGTAGATATTTATTTCATTATTTACTTAATATATTGAAATGAATTTTGTAGGGTTTTTAATTTTTTTTTAATATGACTGCCAGAATATGCAAAGTGATATGGCTTGCATTTGTGATCTTCATTATATACCAATTAGATAGTACTGACATTAGGGTAGTGTTCAAATCCTGTATCATAGAATTATGATCTGGCTAACATGTGCTTTGTCCATTTCAATTTATGCTAGCTATTGTGCGGAGCGGGCTTTCTCGGGACCAGGGCTGTAATTTAGTTGTGGAACCCTTGCTTAGCATGCTTGAGGCCCTGGGTTTAATCCCCAGGACTGAAAAAAAAAAAAAGGATGGGCAGCTAGTCTTATTCCCTGATAGATCTGGGTTCACACCTGGGCACCTTTGTACGCCAGCCATGTGAAAACTGCATTTCAGTATCTCTAAATTAAAGATATAACAAATATAAAGTATCTACTTCATAAAATTTAATTCTCCCTGGTGCATTCTAGCCTGTCCACCTTCTTTCAATTCTTCTTTTCTTTCTATTGAAAAGAACAGGTAATGGTTCACATGTGTCTGAGACCTTACTGAATATTAAAAGTACACAATAAATTCTCTTTTCCTATTTAGTCATTGGGGCTCTACTTGCCTTGTCCTATTTTCACCAAATGTAGGACCTGAGAACCTCTGTGTTTCCCCGTGTTTTGTATTTAATATCCTGTTCTAGATAATTTATTTTAATAGAATAAATTATTATAACATTGAAGAAGTCTCAAGTCAAATGATTTTAGGTTGCTCTTGTCCCATAGGAGATTTTTTTTCTATGATCTGATACCCCATAGTTAATTTGACGCCCCTTAGTTAATCTGATACCCCCAAAGAAGGATTTTGATTTAATTTTGGAGTGACATCAGAAACAATGTCTTCTCCCTCACACCTCCCTTCTCCTCTTAGCCATCCTGCCTAAAATATCTTCTACCCAAGACACACATATTTAGCTACTGCTCAAAGTAGCCCCCTAGTTAAATTCATTTTCATCAGTTAGCCATTTGGGATTAGAATGCTCAGTTCCCTGTGGATTTCCCACAGCTTAATAGAGTTTTTGGTAACTGACACCTTGAGAAAAATGCTCTAACAAATCTTAAAAGTGTGTTTGATTACCACAGTTGTTAAAGATAAGAGTAAGACAAAATATTTTAAATGTTGTTTCTGTTAGGGATTTCTATGAACATCTTTTGAGTATTCCACTCATGGCTTCTTAACAGTTTTTTCCCAGAGGAAGAGTTTAAGCACAGGACAACATTTTGAAAAGGAAATGAGACTTTGGCTGATGTCTCTCAAATGTAGAATGTGGCCTTTCAGATAATGTGATCACCTTTTCTTTATACAATGTCAGCATTTCAAAATGAGTATAGGATATGGATTAGGTAGGAATTGAATGCAAATGTGTTTTGCAAATAGTGTCTTTTGAGATAATCACAGATGATGGTTGAATGCTGAAGGTATTAATACAATCAGTATTTAACCTTGTGTAACTCCGCTTCATCAAATTTCACCCTGCACATTGATTGCATTAAGCCGGGTCAGTGGTTTCTTGCTTAGGAATATCTTATAAGAATCTTAACAGGAAGGCAGCAGTAGCTGATCAGCTACTGTTTATTTGCATACTGAGCGTGTCATCAATAATACAAAAGACAAGGTCTTTAAGTTGAAAGAACAGTGGGATTGGCATGAATTTTGCTTAATGGTGCGTAATAAGCAAAGTAGTCTGTGGTGCCAGAAACTGACAGGATCCATTATGTTAAAACAGATATATGTCTTTAATTTAGTGGTATTATGTAAATCTGACAGGAGTTTTTCCCTTTATTTTCCTGTAGTTTAACTTTAATTGCTCCAAGATTAATTCCGATTTCTTCCTTCCTCCAGAGGGTGATGAGACTGGTGTGATGGATAATCTTCTAGAAGCCCTACAATCAGGTGCAGCATTCCGAGACCGCAGAAAGCGGATTCCAAGGAATCCAGGTAATATCTACTCTAGTTCACATGGTCTTATCAAATCTGAATGTTCAGAGCCAAGTACCCCATGCCTTCCAAAAAAAGAAAAATAATGAAATTTTCCCATACAGGCTTTTTTAAACAGTTGATCTCATTTCATGTGTGAAATCTCAGCAGGCGTCTATATCTACATGATTGCAAATTTCAGCTCACTAAATGTATCTTCAAATAACTGTACACTTTGCAAATATATCAAATATAAGGACTCCCACTGTGTTTAATATTAAATATTTAATTGTTATTTTATGAACATGTGGTTTGGGTGGAAGGTGGTTTAAAACCATGAGTGTAATTAAATCATAAAAAAATAATTGGCCCCAAGCTATTCACAGGTAAGGAAACTGAGACAGTGCCCGTTTCTAAAGGCCATTTTGCTTTTGTAGTACAGTAATATAAATAATAGTCTGTAGTCCATGTTAATAAAGGAAGAAGAGTCACAGATAATTCAAGACCCTCAAAAAATCACAAAGCACTGAAACAATTTTTTATCAGTGTAATTGATTGATAACAGATAAAGGTGCACTGTGAAAATTGGTCTGAGGGGGGAAGAACACAAAAGTAGCAAAATAAAACTTCTCTCACTCAAGTGCAACTAGAAAGTTGGCTTCCTTATCTATTCATACCTTATGGCTGAGTAAATAATAGTTCCTCTCAGGAAAATCCAAGGAGTCCTAACTCTCCGCCTCCACCATGAGGTTTTATGTTTTCAGTGCATTTCTTTCTTAAAGTAGAGGAGGAAATTAGGTCTGTTGATTTTAAAAGTCTTCTTCATGGGCTATGACACTATATTGGAGAAATAAATGAAAAATTACTAGTAAATATGTAAACTACTTAATTTAAATTAGCAATATTTGACTTGGATAGCCTATACTTCAGAAAGTTTTCTTTGATCCAGCAGTTATTATAAGAATGGAAATTCATAGCTTCCAAGACCATTGTAATTGAACAAACTAGTGAGAGAAGTAGAACCCAGTGCAGTTGTTCATAAAAGCTTTTGGCAATGGTGAAGTTCATGATGGAAGCAAATTTAAGTTATATAAATATTTTTCACATTTGGGTGAATCCCGAGGGATAATAGATAACACTCCATCTATTCCCTTCATGGATGCTCTGTCAAGATTAGCCTAAAGATAAGATTTCATGTAGAGGAGAGAAGTGTTTTGCATAGAACACAAGACTGCTTTTTATATATATGAAGAAATTGAAAGTAGCCAAAAAAAAGAGTCAAAGATTGGAGAGAAGAACATGGAAATCTGTATTTTTACGTTTATAATCGAATTTTTAAGGTATACTTGCCTGGCAGAATGCCAGAGCACTACTACTCTACAACTATGAGGCAACCATGCCACCTATCCTCAGTCTTTGAAAAGTGAGGATGTTTTACCATGGTTTCAGAATACCTTCCATCTCTTAAGGACAATAAAAACCTTCACTGTTCTTTGTTGAACTATCAGAACAATAATAGTCAGTGAAAGCTGAATTGAAATAGTAATTTTTGTATCAATAAGTAAAAGCTTGTTATTCTGGGCCATAAAAGGACTGCTGTAATCTTTCTAGTCTGCTTATTTTAAAACTACACATTTGTTAAGGCCCCTTCCTGATAAGTCTCACACCTCATACTGATTCTAGAAAAGCTGTACTGGAGAGAGATCAATCCTTGGGGGTTTCCTGAACCTGATACTCTGGGGAATGCAGTGTCATCAACTGTGAAACACCAAGGATACATTCACAAACTGTATAATTTTATAGTACTAATTCCAAGTCATCTAAATTGATATTTTTGGTTTGTAGCTAGATTGCCCCAATTAACACATAGGGTCAAAAATGGTGCATTTAAATACAGCAGTCATTCCGATTGGCAACAGCCACAGCAAATATGCAGAGGCAAAAAGAAACCAGCATACAGGCAGTGGCAACAGTTAGTAAACACCTTGGACATCAGTAGAACAGGAAGCAAGAGAAGGGGAGGGGAAGGCACAGAGTTTATAAGTCTTCAAAACCTCTTCTGTCTGCTTGCCTCTTTTATAGAAGTGGCAGAGACAGGGACTTTTAGAGATTTCCTCCTCATCTAGATCTTTCCTAGCTAAGTCATCTTTTCATGAAGGTCCCCTGTTGTTTTTGCTTTCTTAGTCACCTTATTTGATTCCTTTCCAAGTTCCCATTGGATTTGGTATTGTTACCCTTCCCCTGCTCAACACAAGAATCCTCGTTCCTTTCTAATAACTTCCATTTCAACATGATGACATAAAAACAGAAAAACAAAATTATGAAGAATAGAATTTTCCCCAAGGGAAGTAAAATACAAAAAAATAGACCAAAAAGTTTCACATCAGAGTCTAGCACAAACAGCAAGGATGTACTCTGTTCTGCTTGCCATTTCCATTATTATCAGTTACAGAGGAAATTACTGTATTTACACAGCTCAACCATTGTGTTTCTAATTGGAATGTTTTCAATTATGGATTTAAACAAAATGAGGTAATAATCTGTATTTTTATTAGCAAATCAATATATTAAACAATGATATGATTACTTGCCTAAATTTTAACAAATCTTCTACACTGGGCCTGTTCCCCCTCCCCAAGTTAGATAAGTTAGAAAGAGCTCCCAAATATTGTCTACTTCCCATTCAGCTGAGTGTGCTGTTTCCGTTAAGAGCATAGTTCCTGTGAAGGGAACTATGCTAGATGTGATGGAAGATGCTGAAATAATAAAGATAAGATTTCCTTAGTTATAAAACCCTTGTGTCTAGTAAGAAAGATAAAAAGTACAGAAATACTACAAAATAAGGCAGAAGATAAAAGAAAGCAAAAGGTGTTAATAACATACTACATAAGTTCAAAGAAGGAAGATAACATGCTTTATTGAGTATATCAGAAAGATAATCATGGAAGAAAAGGTTTTGCAGGATGAATAGAGATTTCAACAGTGGAAGCTGGTGCCACATCATTAAATACTGAAATGAGACACTAGGTGTAGCATGTATTTCTTTAGGCAGAGGAATCTAATGGAGGTTTTTCAGCCATAGGAAGATGATCAAAGTTGTGCATTATGACATTTAAGCTATAGGTGTGTAAGAAATGAAGTAGGAATCTACAGGCACATTGTTAAAGGAGATAACGTAGAGAGAGAAGAATATCTAAAAGTCAAAGATAACTCTAAGGTTTTGAGTTCAGGTGACTAGGAGGACAAGTAGGTTACTAAACTGTTAAGATCAGGAAAAGGAATGGTGGTAGTAGAAGATAAATTCATTTGGGGACAAATTAAACTGGAAAGTGTTAGCAGAGCATCAAAATCAAGATTTACAGAAGGTTCTTAGAAATATGGGTATAGATTTCATAAGGAAATGGTTGGGTACTTAAGCATTCTGATTATACTTTGTGAAATGAAAGAGATTGTTGGGGGGATTATTAACAAGACAAGAGAGTCAAAGATAGGACCTTGAAAATTCTTCCATTTAGGAGCTAAAAGCAAAGAAGAAAACTGACAAAAGCCAGTTGGACAGGTAGGAGGAGAATCCAGACATTGTCCTGGAAGCAAAGAAAGACAAAAGTATTCAGAAGGCAGAAAGGGTAGGCATTTTCAACAATGACATATTATATAGTGGAATCAAAAAGGATAAACCCCAGTGATTTCTACTTGGGAGCTTTCTAATTCCTTTGTAAAGAATGTCACTTCAATATTATAATGTAACTAAGAGCCAGAATGTAGGAGCTCCACAGTGAGTAGATGGTGAAACTATGGAGATAGATAGTATTCATTCAACATTTAAATAATTTTAATGAATGCCTCCTCAGTGCCATATACTGGTTTAGGTGCTGAGGATGCAAAACCAAAGAGGATATTTGTCTTGAAGAGCTCATATACTGTTCAAGGAAGTGTGAATATAAACTGCATGATCGAATTAGAATGCAGTGTTCTGTAATAAAGATAGGAATAATGTACCTGTGAAGCATGGAAGTTACAGGAACTTCCCCCCAACTTTTCTCCTCTCTCCTTTGTGTTCTTAGCATATAGACTATTCTTTCTAGAAGTTTGGTGGGTGAAAGGAACATCTTATTTTCCCTTAACAACCTAGTATAGACCTAGTGTCTATGAATTTTTATCTATGAATTTTGATAAATTCTTCTTGACTCTCTTTATCACCACTTAAGGTAATAAGTCCTGTATGTTTATAATCCATGTGGTAAAGAATTGCCCACCAATATTCCTTACTTTGTCATTATAAGATCAAATATAGGGAAAATAAGCACATAAAGAAAGACCTCACAGGAGTGAGAACCACACTTAAAATACAAATGCACAACTCCACATGAGTTTTATTACTAGATAACTATAGATACTTAGAGCTTGCTTGTTGTCCCCCAGCCAATGACTTCTTTCCTTGCCTACTATAAAGAAATATAAATGGGCTTCTCAGCAATAGGTACATATCTAACTTAGCTATTTGGGCTAAGACTGGATTTTGGTCTATAGTTCTAGCCATTCATACAACTCACAAGAGAAGCATTATGAAGAAATGAAACCAAGAAACAGAATAAGTATTTTTGGTTTTAGAACCACACAGGGCAACCAAGAAAACTGAATTTAAGAAAACAGAAGAAACTCAGGAGACACATGATCCCAGTTTTATGTATCAGCAAGATAACAATATAAATGAGAAGGTATAATTTACCATTTGAGAATAGAAAGAGGACAAGACAAAATGGTATATACCACAGAGGGAAAAACAAACTCTAAGTATTATAGAAAAAATAACTTCCCAACAAAACAAAACTCACATTTCACCAGGCCTCTCTACTTTGCATAAGTAACAGAACCCCAATTGTGCTGGCTGTTGTCTCCTCATACACATTCAGGACCTCTGAAGCATTTCTGGAAGTTCTCAGGGAGCATTTCAGAAATAAAGACAATCTCCCACTACTGTTCCTCCACTTCTGCCTAGAATACCATGTATTTCATGCCTG